TTCTCACAAATAGGTCCTCAACTGTGCTGTAAAAACTCTGCTGTTAAAGCCAAGTGCTCATGCACCCCCCGTGTCAGCGCTGAGAAACACGGTCCGTATAACCACCGCCGTAGCTTTGCAACTAACACCCGCTTCGTGCCTTGCCAGTGTCGATATGCCAGCTGGTTTACTTCCCATCAGCAAGCAGGGACTCCATGCTAGGGCAGATAAAATTCAAGCTGTAAATATGTCCCACACGGCCACAGTGTCTCTCATAAAAATTCTATTCAGCCCTGCCGTCACCACTGGGGTTGTGCTGGTTGGATGGGAAGGTTTTCCAAGGGGCCCTCATGTTTCAGGCACTGTACGGAGACTCTACGTTGGATTCTGCGACTGAGCAATCAGCAAGGCAGGTCAAAAAACTGGGGCTTTAAAGTCAGGCTCCTAAATCCATATTTCGGCAGCCCAAGGAGCAGGCAGATTTTCAGCAGTGCTGAGCAGAGCAGCTCCCCCTGGAGGCACTGGACTCTAGTGATCACCCAGCACTTTGTAAAATCTACCCATTTCTTTAGGGGCCTCCCCGGGGCCTTAGGAGCCAGTCACTCGAGTCACTTTTTTTACAAAAACATTTGGCTGTGGTAGCTGCAAAAGGGGTAGGGGGGTGCCCCATGGCCTCCCGTCACTAGTGGTTTGAAAGGATTCTTTATGACTGAGATCTTCCCTGGTGAGTTTATTAAAGCTCATTGACAAGTCTCCGGAGTGGAACTGAGCCCCCCCCATCTCACACTGACTTTAACAGAAACAGAGGGTGTTCAGCACCCCCCTGGATTGGCCCTGGGTGCTGATTTAGCTGGGCAGAACTCCAGTGCAGCCGGAGCAAGCGTGTAGGACAAGGCCTTTGCCCGGTGCAGTTCGGCGGGGGGACCCACTGGGGCTAAGCCACACACACACGTCACGTTATGTAACATCTTTGTTTAAGATGCTTGTTTGTGAGCAGCCGCAAGAACTTGCAGAAGTTGAAGTACTGCCTGATTGGGAGTGCCGGAGCCATAGCCTAGCAGCTGAATAATAAGCCTGCATTCTTTCTCGGAGAAGTGGGGAAATGGGCTTATTTTTCAAGGCGTCTCCGCCAAGCCATCGCGCCGTGCAAGACAAATGGCTAGAGAGGATGGCACAAATCCACGAGCAAACAAGGAGCTCCTAGTGCTAGGGCCCAGCCGAGCCCAGCAGGTCGAATTCTTTCCCAGATCAGCTCTGCATTCTGTGACATCTTGGTCTGTCAAGTACAATTACTATAATCTTCCACAGCCTTTCAGAGTAAGGAACCCAGCTTAGAAGCCAGGCATCTACAGGATGAAAGCTGCCTTTGTGCTTGGGCAGACCCTGGGTGCAAGTCAGACATTAGGTATACAGAAGTGAGTTCTTTACGTGGCGGGAGAAGAAGTCAAAGGAAAACTTCGATGCTCATCTCCTTTAAGATCCTGCTGATTTTTGCCTGCGTTGCTCTGTGGAATAAACTGGAGCTGTCAGGGAGCCAGGAGCCGTGTGTTTGCACATTCCCTAGTGTTTAATGCAGCCCATGCCTCTCCACAGATTGTGTGGACAACACCACAGAACAACACAGAGCCTGCGACTCCCCACAAGCGCAAGCCAATTGGACAATTCGGAGGGACTGCCGGAGATTTGGGGGAGACTTTCTGGACACTGAACGTGTACTATGGGAGCAGCTCACGGGAAAAAGGTAATGGGATGCCTTTATTCTTTGATGCTTAAGCATTGGTGCCTTTGAAGAGATGACCCTTGTCTGCTCACATGTAGCTCTGATTAACCCCTTTGTGCACTGCCCAATCCTTTCAGGAGTTCAGTGGTGGGTTAGAGACAAGGAGCGGCTGGTGTGGACACAGGTGTCAAACGCTGTCAACTGAATGAAGTAATTCGATCTGATCAGATTGATAATTGGCCGTCCTTTAGGGAGCTCTCTAGGGCCAATGAGGAGCGTGGGGTGGGGCTGAACAGTGATATGTCCGGAAGCTGGAGAGCTGCACACACGCACACCCACAAACCAGGCTTAGCTTTTGCAGTCACTGCCAATGACAATGTTCACTCACATATCTGATGTTTTTAATCTTGTCAGGCAAGGTCAGCAGGGTTTTACCGACTTCACTTGTGACAGTTCTAAGCGATGTTAACAGCAGGGCAGCATTTTGCTTTCTGGCGCATTGGGGAGATGTGTAAAGTGAATGGGTGTGCAGGTCTGTCCATTGCATTCTCTCTAGATCTACAGCATGATGCCAGGGGTCCATCAGCAAGCCAGTGCCAGAAGCGAAGGAGACCTCTTGGGATTGTTCTACTTGCTAAACTCAGCAGCCTGGCGTCTTGCGTCACTAGGAGCAACTCACTGCATTGTTTTTTCATTTGATTAGTATAAATAAAATGTGAACTTATTCCCCTGTAGTAAAAAGCATTCCTCTCTGGCCGGTTTGGCATGCCTGCCTTCACGTTTCTGATCAGAAATGACCCTCCACCTTGAGAAAACATGTTAGAGGCTACAGCTGAGCAAATATTCATCGCAAATCGGTTCTTTAATGTAGCCTCTTGTCTGTTCGAGAATCACCTGCAAGCAGCTCAGAATTTCCCGGAATGTATTCACTGGGCAAAAGCATGGCTGGTTCTCAGAAATATTTCTTGCCCTGTAAATTGTTCACAGCTCACTCGCCACCAAGTATGCAAGGCCGGATTCCTCTGTCAATGAAACTCAGCTGAGGTCTCTCCCTCCCCTCATCTGCCAGGAGGACGTGTTTGTTTTCCTCCCTTTCTCGTCTCCCATTAACTCCCCTTCCCACTAAGGGCACAGTCAGCATCAAATGCCACTGGCAGAGAATAGAGGCAGCAGCAATTACAGATTCATAGATTCCAAGGCCAGAAGGGACCATTGTGATCATCTGCCTGATTCCCCGTATAACACCGGCCAGAGACCTGCCACCAAACAATCCCTGCAGCAGAGCTTCTCGGAAAACGTCCCAGCTCCATTTCAGAACTGCCAGTGATGGAGAATACACCACAACCCTCGGGGAACGGTGCCAATGGTTCATGACCTTCACTGTCGAAAAATTACGCCTTATTTCTAGTCTGAATTGTCTAGCTTCAACTGCCAACCATTGGATCTGGCTAAACCTTCCTCTGCTAGACTGAAGAGCCCATTCCCTGCATAGGCACTTATAGCCTGTGATCAAGTCATGCCTTATCCTTCTCTTTCTTCAGTTACATAGATGGAGCTCATTGAGTCTCTCACTATAAGGCAAATTTTCTAATCCTTTCATCGTTCTCATGGCTTTTCTCTGACCCCTCTCCGATTTATCAGCATCCTTCTTGAATTGTGGGCACCAGAACTGGACACAGGATTCCAGCAGCGGTCGCACCTGTGCCAAACACAGAGGCAAAATAACCTCTCTGCTCCTACTCGAGATTCCCCTGTTTATGCACATTAGCCCTTTTGCCCTCAGCATCACACCCGCAGCTCATGGTCAGCTGATTATCCAGCATGATCCCCAAATCTTTTTCCGAGCTTTCCCTGGTAGAGTCCCCCATCGTGTAAGTACGGCTGACGTTTCCATTTAGCTGTATTAAAACACACGTTGCTTGCTTGCACCCAGTTTACCAAGCGAGCTAGATCACTCTGAAGCAGTGACCTGTCCTCTGCATTATTTACCACGCCCTCAATTTTTGTGTCATCTGCAAACTTCCATAAATTAGCCTTTTCCTAACCTATCCCATACACTCCACTGCTGTGACACAGAGTATAGCTGCATTCGAGCTGCACAGTGGAACTTCCTGCTCGCGGAGACATACCTGTGTTAGCTCTGATTGAGGGGAGCCATGGTGCTGGGAGGGGATAGCCACGCCAACCATGATATCATCGGAGCCCCTCCTGCTGCTCAAGCCCCCGCGGCTGTACTTCTAGCTCCATCAGGGATGTCTCCTGGAGTGGGAGTTTGCACCTGGCTTGAATGATGATGTACCCGAAGTCTGTGGGATGGAGGGCTGAATTTGTACCAAAGTAGCCCTGAGACGTGCTTCAATGCCTTCTATGTTACACCAAGCCGTGCGCTAGGAGCTGACTGGGGACAAGGTAACAGCGTTTTTTAATTTAACGATAAAATCCCCCTCACGAGTGCTGCCATGGGGCCAGTCCCCCCCAATCGCCTCCATAACCCCTGCACTGTAGCTGGTGGATGGCAGGGCCCACAAAAGAGGAGCGTTTCCAGTACAGCAGGCTTGGCTCTGACACGCTTCTGAAAGATGCTGGTTTGAAGACGACTTGACTTGGGTGGGTACAAACAAGGTCAGAGATTTCACTTGCATTTCAACAACCACAACGTTGCCTGGTTAGACAAAAGAATGTGGCCCTGGGTAGTGGCCGGTAAGCAGGAAGAGCCGTTAGAGACTAATGACTTGTGGGTCCATTTTTTATTGTCTAGAATGAATCTGATGGCGGTGGAAGGGAAAGCCCCTTTTCTCCTGTTTCCTAGGTACGGTTAGGTTGTGCGTTTCCTCCAGCACTGAGTTAATGTCTATGTGCCCAAGCAGAAGCTAGCCTGGCTGAGGGGCTGTAATCAGGGGTTCCCGAGTGCCAACCTCCTTTCTCTGGCGTCCTTCGCAGGCATTTACAGACTCCCTGCGTGTGTTCAGATAAAGTTTCGCCTGATACATACAAGCGAAGCAGGAGAGCCGGATTTAACATGGCTGCCGCAATGTCTAGTGAGTAGCTCGGCCCGGAAAACAGAGGAACAAAGGACAAGGGAGAGGCCTAGCCAGCTGTCAGAGGACTGGCCCAGGGCCGGCGTAGCAGCCCCTGTATGCCATGCCCCTCTGCAGACAGTATCGGGGCGTGGCCAGGATATAGCGACGCCCCATTGACAGCGCTTTGTGCGTCCTGCCAGCTAGCCCCAGTCGTTTGTGGCGAAGTTTGGCCCTGGTTATGTAGGTAGGACTTTCATCCATCCCTGCAGTATCTGAGCCCCGTGCCCGCGCTGCTGGATTCAGCCTTCCAGCCGTCCTGTGAGGCAGGGACTTCAGCCGTCCGATGTTATAGCTGGGGAAAGTGAGCCAAAGAGGATAAGTGACTTGCTCAGGGATACACAGGGTGTCTGTGGCAGAGGTGGGAATTGGGATTCTGGCTTGAGTCTCTTAACCACCTCACCCTCCTCTCTGGCTCTGATTTACATCGCTGGACTGGCCCTGTGCACAGGGACCTCGTGAACAGTACTGTGTGCTCCTGGCTGCAGCCCAGGACTCGGGCCATAGCCTGTGCTCCTTGTCTCAGACCATGCGAACCAGGGGATCTGTGACGCGGACAGCCTGGGTGGAAGCCTACCCGGAGGCCCGCAGCGGGAGCCACGCCAAGAGGTTAGCAGTGTTTGTGGACCCCAAGGAAAGACATCTGTCGCCACACACGAAAGGCACAAGGGGGACTAGGGCCAGCACAAGGAGCGAGCTGATCGCCTGTGAGAGTCAGGGAGGAATTGTCCATCCTGGCACATTGGTGCTGCGTGGGAGGAGCGTTACTGCCCAGTGAAGCGTTAGCACTGGTCCCTCTGAACCAGCTGCGTCTGCTCTGCCCAGGTATGACATCCCCTGTGTGAGCTCCTCCTCCCCTAGCTGTACCTGCCGGTCCTGGCCAGGTTGTGCTAACAGAAACTGCGTGGCGGTTTTGTCCAAGCCCTCCCAGGCGTCATTAAGAGCTGCATTGAACACGCTGCTGCAGAAGGGCTGGGTTCCCTCAGCCAGGCCCAGGCCCAGGACGTGCCGGTGAGGGGCTACACGTACGTCACACCCAAGCTAGGGCTGAAGTCAGGAACTGTCCCAGCTTCACGCCTTTCAGATTTAGAACAGAACAGCAGCGCCGAGGGATTAAAATAAGTGGATTGTGATGTACAGGACATCAGCAGAACAATAGGGCTTAGCAAAGAGTGCCGGCATATCCGCAGGGAGCTTGCAGGGCGTTAGCTGCCAGCCCTAGGTCAGGGATCCCACAAAATTCCCCCTTCTAGGGTTGCAGCTGCTTCACCATCGCTGCCTCATGTGGGGACACCGGCTCCGCACAGATCCACACCAGCAACTGCAAGATCGGGGCTGAAACAGGGACAAGATGCAACAGGAGGCGCAGAACACGGCCGAGGGCAGGAAGGGGGAGATCAGGGTGAAAAGGCCTCAGGGCCAGGCCCTCTGCCCTGTGCTTTGCAAAGCACAGATTCCGCCGTCATCAGTGAGATAAAGGGGAGTAAAGGCAATGGGGGGTTATTAGATTTAGAGCAGATCAACAACCTAAGCTAATCTAGCTCTCCGGCCCTGTCTGGGAGTGACTCCAGAGACTGATTTGCAGTTCTGAGGAGAGACTGCAGGAAGAGCCATGGGAGGGACGTGGAATTGCTCTTTCATGTCTCTGCTGTTGTGTCCGGGGTTTCCTTGCACCTCTTGCTCACCAGCACATTTAACACGTTAGCAATGCTGGCCTCAAGCTTCGCTGGCAGAGCCGGCCACCTTCTCAGTGACGGTTCTGGCCACACACATTCTCCGGAATGTCAGGCTTCCACAACGCTGCAAAGACATACCCTGGTGTCAGCTCATCTTCCCGTGCAGCCGGGAGCGTGGCTTGCGGATATGAACTACTGAAGGCAGCAGTCCAATGATTTAGGAAGAAGGCCTTCAGACAATGACTGGGGGGTTACATAAGCAAATGAA